AACTGTTACACATTACTATTCTGTGTTTACTTACTTCTTTGTGAGATAATGTTTATTTGTAATCGTAACCAGTTAATAACGTTAGGAAACGTAACTTTTTAATTTTGACCTTTGGGATCATATCAATTATTTCGTCTGTGTACATTACTAACGAAAAAAATTAAATGTAACGCACTAAGCTGTAGAATTGTAACATTCTGTGACATCTAAAATATTTGCTCGTCATATTTTCGACCTAACTGCTCAAACGTTAATGTCGTTAACTTATACTTGCACAAATACATCCGCATGATGAGTCGTCAACGTAGACCAGCGATTTCAAGTGCTAACCAGATGGAATTAGGATACTCGCGCAAATTGACCTTGCACGCAAAGACAGTTTGACGAGTAACCTTGCATAACTTATTTCGTGCATAAATTGGGTCTTATACTGGTAGAAAGTAGTAGAACTAGTGGTTAGGAATGTTTACGTTGGATTTTAAGATTGTTCATCACACTACAAGATTATACGCAAAATCAATTATTATAGTAAGTCATCAATTACATATTTTAATCTCGATCTTGGTTACTAAGGTTCAGAGTACAAACTATTCTAGACACAACACACGTTATCTCAGTGTTTGTAGGCAATTAAAATTTGTTCAACCCTAGATGAAAACAAGTGAAAAACATCTGTTCGGTTCCGGGAGCGCCTATCAACATTTCAAGATACCTACAAAATCGGACTATGACATCATTTAAGAAGAAACAGATAAAATCCGAATCATAAGGATAAATTGTTATATTGTTTTACTCGAAAACACCAGAACATAACAGGTGAAATCCGCACAACAGCGATCAGTTATTTACTCTTTAAAATTAAGATACTATGACGTCATAATCACGAGAACAGCAAGTATAGTGAGTCACAATTTCCGCAGCGGACTTGCGGCAAAGAGGAATACAATAAGTTAACAAACCGCTTTAAAAATGTTTACTAAAGTTCATACTCATTATAAAAAAGGTGCACAGCAACTTGAGATAATTTTTATTAATTAACTAGCTATGCCCGCGACTTCGTACGCGTGAAAATAGTTTGAATAATATTTCCCGTTTTGCAACGTTTTTCTTTACTGCTCCGCCCCTATTGGCTGCACATTATGCAGAACACCTAGTTTATTTTTATAAATACTCAAACTGACGTGTGTGTGCGCTATTTTGATAGTAACAAAAATGAATGAACATTTGACCTTCATCTCATACATAACGGTAACAGAGAACAAACCTCGAATTTCAAAAGACCTCAATTTCTATGTCATGGTCGTAACGGGTCATTGTAATTGTTTTGATTGATAAAACTATTTAATTAAGTTTAGACAAACGAGCTGTCTTTAAACGCGACTTAAATGCATGTTCTCACACGGATTATATGTTTTAAAGCTATCTACACTTAATTAAATTAGACGTTAATTTTATTTACAAGAGAAAACGACTATTTAATACATATCCCTGGCAACAAACATTTACTCCACTTAAGGATGTCATTAAATATGTAAGCAAATAGTTTTCATCCTTCATACCATTTCTACTATACAGGGTGGAAACGTTAAGTGATCTTACTCGATTATTTCTAAACTATACAAGATATCGAAAAACTGATTACTGATTCTGAAAGTGCTTCACAAGCTCTTTCAAACAGTACTAATAATAGGTTACAGAATAAACTGTTTCTATCCGAAAATTCAATGTTTAGAGCTTCCATACATTTAGTAAAATCACATAATATTAAAAACTATACAAGATATTAAAAAACTGGTTACTGATCTTCAAAATGCTTCTCGAGCTCTATCCAACGGTACCAATAATAGGTTACAAAATAAACTGAATCCATCCGAAAATTCAATGTTTCCAGCTTCCATACATTTAGTACAACCACAGTCATGGCACTCATGTCTTGTTAATATTATAGCAAGTAAACCCTAAAACCAATGTTTTCTAAGAAAAAAATTAAATAAGAATGCAATTTACGAGTTCATTTTAAGTGTTTATTATTTAATGAAAAAATGTAATAGGTACTTCTAATATTGTTTGGCTGACATACATTTAGTATGGAAGCTGAAAACATTTAATTTTCGGATAGATCCAGTTAATTCTGTAACCTAATATTGGTACCGTTAGATAGAGCTTGTAAAGCACTTTCAGGATCAGTAACCAGTTTTTCGATATCTTGTATAGTTTAGAAATAATCGAATGAGATCACTTATCGTTTCCACCCTGTATATTCAGCTTATCACATTTTAAGTAGCTTACAAACATATAAAGATGTTTAAAAAAATGTGTTATGGATTAAAATCTCATATTTTAGAACTAATAATTAAACTAAAAAACTCACCGCATGCACGGAGTTGGGGTCAGCGAGCCATGAGTTGTACATGGTCTCCACGTACGCCGAACTCGAGCCATTGAGGAAAGGCTCAGCCGCTGTGGAACTTTTCCACCTGCTGGCGTTTACTGTCACAGCGGCATTCTACAGCAATATGGAAAAAAGTTATTCTTGTGGTTCATTAGATTGGTCAAATAATGACATAGTGCAACAGGCTTATCAAGGAATATGTCAAGGTCAAGATAATACAAATATTGTAACAGCTAAACTGCTATGTCCTTGGAAAATATACCGTAAAATAAACCATATAAAAAATTGGACTAAAAACTTACTTAAAAATCAATGCAGTAATGTAAGAATATTGGCACAAAATATAGTATGAACCAATACTTTTACAGTAAAAGTGTTTATTACTTAGGTGTCTTGCAATTTAGATATGTCACTGCCACAAAACCGTAAATAATAAGACTTATTACTATAAATTGTAGCTTATTATGTCACAAACCTGTGGTTTGTTGAGGAGCCATGACGCAAATCTTTCTGTGTTGCCTACTTTGTTTGTTGCTTGAAATACTAATCTTGCACGATGCATGTTGTTTGTTTATGGGGGCCCCTAGTCAAGTGTCAGATCTGTGGACAAGGTAATAATGTAAAAATATATTTTTAAAACAATTACACTTAGGTACTTGATTTTTTTTACAGTTTTATGTAAATTCCCATTTTCTCAATAGGAATAATCAAATGACATAATTCCATACAAATTACAAATATGATTTAAAAAAACTCGATTGCATTCTGACATAACACACCTCCCCAGTTTGGCACCCATTCAAATTCATGTTGGAAAGATCTATTTTGGTATTAGAACTATGGTATTTTTATAAACAATATAGTTCAAGGCCTAAAGTGAAATTATTGGATAGCTAAGTAATATTATGTTAATAATTTCAATAAACATAACTTCGAAATAATAATGCAATTTTTTTTTTAATTATTTTTTGTACTGTTTGGACGTGACGAGGTTAAAAAATAATTATTTAATTAAAATTAAATTAGTATGTACGTTGTGGCCTTTCATAATGTCTACTGCCCTACAAACATAGTCTCTTTTCTTTCTTTCGTAAACTAACAACTTTGTATCAGTTTCTCGAAGTAAATATTGTTATCATTAATTGTTATCAGTTCCATGGACAACACAAAAATATGATATTGTTATTCATACCTACAATCATAAAAGTAATTAAGTATTTTAAGTCAACAACTCTAATTAAAGAGGAGTTGTGTATTCCATTTGTTATGAATGAAAAGAGTATTTTGTTTTTCATATTTAGTTTACCAGGATAAGACAGAGTAATTTAGCATAATAATATTGTTAATTAGTTCTAGGCAGTTTCAGCTAGTAATAGTTACTCATAAGGTAGCATTTGAGATGATGGCCAAGGCAAAGAAAATTATAACATATTGACTGATATTGGAAAAACATGTGAAACATATGGGACACTGTTTCAAAAAATATTGTCATATTTATTTTATATGCACTTAATATGCATAAAATTTTATATTTCTAAATTAAATTAAGAAATGCCTAATAATTTTAGAAAGGAAATCAAATTTTTGAAGAAACTGTGTCATGGTGGCTATAAAGGTTACTTTCTAATTATTTATGTTAAGTTCATTCATTTAAGTGATGGTGTACTAATTGTTACAATCGAAATTATTGTATTACATGTTACATGCTTTTAAACATAACGTAGCCTGGCATTGCACAATTTTGATGAATGTGGCTAATTTTAAGTCTGGGTCTTTAAGACCACTTAAGAGTACCTACAATGAGGAGCAATGCAGATATTGATAATGGGCTTCTGGATACTTACCTGAGCTTTAACACGTTTCACAAAAATAACTGAATTGCGATAAAATTAAAATGATCAATACTGTGGTCCCGTGATTCAAGGTTATATAACTCGGTTTTCAAGAACATACAAAATTTATTAAAATGCTCACTAGAACCCGAACTAATACATTTTTCTTGCACTTATAACACACTGCGGATGTATTTCTGATTTAATTTCTCTTGAACTAATTTTTACCTTTGACACTACTCGTATGTAATCTCGCAAGCGCCGTCAAATTTGATAGATAGAGATAAAAATTCAAAGAAAAAGCATCATGCTTCACGTTCACTCCCTTCAAAAAACCTCCTTGTTACTTTCAGTGAATCTATCGTGTCTATGGCTTAATCTTATTGGACAAAGAGTTATGATTGGGAGGATAGAGCATTAATTCCACTTTGTAAGTGGAATTATTCCATTTAAAGGTGGAGTGAAAAAAGTGAATAATTATGTACTTAAAATACATACTTTTCACATCTAAGTTCAAATATTGAGAACACTAGCAATCTCCCTCGCTCTTGTGAATATTATACTTGTGTGTGTTGATGGCCTCAACTCTTGTTGCGTGAACTTACTTAATCATAACGTCACAATACGTAAACCTTTGTTCTGCACTATATTGGGAAGCCGCTCTGCTTGCTAAACTTTTGTTAAAAAAATGACTTTCTCAGTGATGATACACTGCCTTCATGATTCATTATCATATCAATGGCTGCTGACAGCTGACTGACTGACATACCTTTTTTGACATTGACATTTCGAAATAATATTGTCAAAGACATGAAGTGGCAAGAAAATTAAAATTTTTAGCCATTTTATTAATATCCAATTTAAATTTGTGTTATATCTAAACGAAAACATGTATTGTATTTCTCCACAACTAATGAAAATCCCCAGGGGTATAACAGCAGTTCGAAAAATACCAAAATTGACCTATCCTGTCAACGTAGTGACTCCAACAGCTAATAAATCTTTAATTTTGTCTCGAGAATATAGTCATGATAAAAAGAAATACAACACTGATAACCTCCGAAAGTATTCATACAAATACATGTGTTATTCAGTTCTATTTGCTACTACTGCGTACGCATCTTACAAAATCTGGTTGGTATTTTTTTACATGGTGAAGTGTTTACGTATACTTTTGACCCTCTGTTTCTCAATTTATATTTATTTCAGGTTAAGATATCAAGTATTTCCATCAATTACAGCGGCTGAAGAAATAGCCGACTCAGATTCTGATAGTGAAATCGACACCAAAAAGAAAAGATATAGGAAAGAAAAAATTGGATTCAGAGATAGAAAGGTGAATAAATATAGAGTTGTTTTATATTTATAGATTCACTGTCAGTTGTAGAGTTGATAAAATTAAATAACTACTTATTTTATTAGGCCCTCATGCAATGTCTTAAATTCACTACCTACCTATTGTATTTTAACTTAATTTGCCAGTACATAACAATTTACCTATTATTTTTACCACAGATAATTGAATATGAAAATCGTATGAGGTCATATTCAACCCCAGACAAAATATTTAGGTACTTTGCCACTGTGAAACTCACTTATGGCGATAGTACGGAGGTTTACATGACTCCTGATGACTTTTTACGAGCTATAACACCTGGCATGAAACAGCCTGATGGTATTTATTTTTTTATAATTGTTCTAGTTTGGGTGCTACTAACACTATTCTTGAAGGCACTAACGTTTTAACTGACACTAACAAACAAGCTTACTTACTCATCTCTGATCTTTAACACTTCTTCAATCCCTTGTAAAACTCACTTCTCGGTGAAGGCTTCTAAATACTTATGTGCAATTTTTGCCTTGGACGCTGCTGCGTAGATCATCGAGTATGAAAATCGCATGAGGCAGTACTCTACTCCAGATAAGGTTTTCCGATACTTTGCCACCCTTCAAGCTCAGCACCATGATCAGCATGAGGTGTTTATGACACCGGATGACTTTCTCCGCTCCATGACACCTGGAGTCAAGCAGCCAGATGGTAACTAATGTGTAATCCTATTAACTTTACTAATCAATTCCACTAATTATATTTTATTAATTAAAATTAATATACATATATTAATAATTTATAATTATAATTTAGTTTGGCAGATGTGTGCCAAACTTTACTTAACAAAAAAATAGACATAAGACCATTAGAATGTAGGTACAACTTTGAAATAGATAATTCCTGACCTGTTATTTGTAGTTTAGTATGTGAATTACATGCTTTTATTTATGTAATTATTGATTTACAGGTCTTGGCCTCGATCAGTACAGAAGATATGACCCAAAGGTAATGTCTTATTACATAGTATTTAATAATTAATTGTGGCACATAATTTATTTATTTTATCTTCCCTATTTATAAATTTATTGTCAAAATCAAAATTATTTATTGCTATTAAAAGTGAATACCTCCAAACTTTGAAATAAGCACTTACATTGAAATTAATACTGGTAATGTGTCTATTCTTCTCATATCATACCTAATTAGTTTTTTTTTTTAATCTATGAAGTATAATTTGATTTTATAAATGATTTGAACTGGTATACTCTATTGATATCATGTTGCACATTTACAATTTGCAAATAAATTTTTATTTTCAATATTCTAACATTATATTTACCAACCTGCTTACAAAAAAATTACCAACATTTTAAAGCAATTCCTGTTCTTCATTTAAAGCATCATAAATAAATGTTGGTTTATTCTATTTACTACCCTAAATTTTGCGTATTTTAGTCGAATATTTTACTAACTTGTCATTGTCAACACTGCACCGGCACCTTCTTCCGGCCACTCACGTCACTTTCTTGTCTTTTCAGAACATCGATGAGGTACTGTCTATCTCCTCTTCCTTTTCTATGCTGCTCTCGATTTTTGTAATACTTTTCTTTTTATGTGCACAGATTTTGAATTGATTATTTTCCCTTATTCAGTGCCATTGGCCACGTTTTAAAATGCCTAGATTAGTGAACACCAAACACTATAGTTTTAGGAAAACCTACTCACATTTCATTTAATGTGTAGCCCGCCACCTTCCTACCTTAAACGCTTTTTGGATTTCGTTAGGTCAATGCTATTTCCAAAGTCACAGTATGTCTCCTAGCATGGTTAGCATATTTTAATTTTATTATTTCCTACTACTTTGAATATCCATGCAACATTCAGACTGCAATTTTAATATGTTTCTGGGTTTTATTATTTTTGTAGGTACTAGAGTTTTAATTATTTAGTGAAAAATAGATACCCTGCATTTTAAGATATAGGATTTTATTTCGTTAGAACTTCATAAATTCCACCCTGAAGATTTCATACATATTTTCATACCTAGTTTGAAAATGCGTACTAAGTACTCTATGATCATTAGATTCATTTGGGTGCATAGAATAATTCCGCTTTTCAATTATTTTCTATTTACGTTGTGCTAATTACCTCTTTCTTTGGTCCGTACAGAGTATCAGCCAACGCCTGAATCTTGATCTTGACGAAGATTCAATATTTTTCAAACTTGGTTCATCAGGACTCATCACGTTTAGTGACTACATATTCTTGCTCACCGTTTTATCAAGTAAGTACAATTTTTATTTTTCATATATTTAATCAAATATCCTTATAACAGAAAGCCATCGCGCTGTATTCCCAAAAACATACATGACTTGGACTTAAGATTTGTAAAATTTTGACACCAAACTGCACTTTTCTTGAACCCAATTCGGCGGAGTTTATTTCAGAGAAACAAATTGCCTTCACAATCAGGGCTGGAATCTACTATAATTATTATGGCTTTTTGGGCTTAGCCCAGGGCCCCGATGATTCAAGGGGCTAAGCTAAGTCAAGTCAAAGTCAAAAATAGACGATAATGTGAAAGAGTATAGTAGGTAGGCCCCTAAGTAGTATTAGCCTAGAGCCCCCTAAATTCACGGTCCGGCCCTATTCTCAATTGATTTGCCTCAGGATATTTTTTGTTGCTATATTTTTTAGTTTTACGTTATATTTAAGTATTTGTACATATTTCACGTTAGATTCTGGTTATGTCTATTTTTCTGATTGTTGCTAAAGACTAGGTGCAGAATGCACTTTATTACTACTTACTATGTTTCTTCAACTTAGAAATGGGTAAATAATTTTAGCCACAAGTTAATAATGAATAAACTCTTTATTTTCTAACATATGTCCTATAAACTTTTGCATCATATCCAAACATTTCAAAATCTAATCCATATATTTTTAACAAATCATCAAGCATCTTGTTGTCAATCTGACTGTAGTAATGCTTCAATAAGGCCGTTGTGTTCCGCCCATCCTTCGACTTGTTTAAATAGATACGAAGCCGGGTTTTCTCGTCACTCACTTTTTTCCCCAGCACGGGCCCTAACCCCAACTGCTGTATCACATACGCAGAGTCCCTCGACAGAGTTTCCACTTTTGCCACAACACTAAAATTTACACCGCACGGCGTACAAAACTGGTAGTACGGTTTCCAATGTTCATCAAAATTCATCCTATTTTTTTTACTGGTCAAATATGCGATAAATTCGTAAAAAGTGGGTCCGATACTTTTTATTGGTCCGAAAATCTTTGTGGCTTTGTCTCTGTGTTCTGCAACTATTGTCCCTGCTAGTTTTCTGTAGAAGGGCGGTGTGTAGTGTTCCAGTTTGTCCCTATACGCCGATAGAAGTCTTACGAAAGGGTCTCTAACGACTATGAGCGATATAACACCTGGCGTGTTGATTGCGTCCCTCAATTCTTCTTCGCTCGGCCGAGGAAACTTCTTTCTTGCTAATATGAGCGGCATTTTTCTTGTCTTTGCTAAGAATTTTCTGTCGTATCCTCCTGAAATGTAAACGAAAAGCTTTATCCATGAAATTGACATTAGCTATCGACCTTAACAACTATAAAAAAATATATTTACCCAAAATATTGAATTTGTACAGCCAATATGTGCTGGCAGCTTTGAAAATATTGCACCAGACTAGACTATGCACGTGATCCACGAGGAATTCTTTACTGTTGATTACTTTGGTGTTGATGGCATGCAATCGACAAACATTCTTGACTCTGTCCTTACGCTTCTCTAGTTCAACTATCGTAGCGTTATCTGGCTCTGCCCATTCTTCTTCGGACACTTCTGTATCTGTTTCGTCATCACCTAAAACTGGGCCCTGCAACTTAACACAAAAATAATAAATAACTTAACACACAAAGGTCATACTTGGAAGGAAAACCTTAGTTTTCATAAGGTGTGTTATTAACTATTTTATTTCATACACAAAAATGTGATTTATTGCCTTCTCTATCCTTCTCTGCCTTAACCCTTGCCTCATTCCTATTTCCAAACAAATCGCAAATCAAAACTAAGTACGCAAACAATGTCCTTCACTTGCTCTGATAACGCAAAATACACATTTTGGTTAACTTTCGGTTGATATTTTTTTTTTTAATTAATTTCTTCAGCAAATCAGTTTAGTGTTTCCTATTTATGTCCGCCTTATAATTAAGATGTTATAAAAGTGAACTCTTACCAGCCACTTTGTGTAATTGTCAGGTTCTCGTACTATTGGCGTATTTACACTGGTTTTGAATATTGTCATTTTCATCACCGCCATGTAGAGTGCCGCCCAAAACACGAAAGTTGCAGTTTTCGCGCCGCATCTCAGATAGTAGAAGCCTTTTGTTTTCAATCTCGTTCTGAACCGTTTCACTGAGAATACCATATTGGCGCGTCATGTGGTTTGAAGTGTTATAGAGCTTAGGGGAAACGATTTGTCGTAGGTAGATAACGTGCTATTGTTTTTTGTTAATGGAGCGTTAAATGCACAACATGGTTTAATTAGATACTTTGGTTGTTATCGGAGACGTCAGAGCTAACAGGTCCAGTACGCAGCATCCGCGAGGGGCGCACAGAGCATGAGCGAATGTAATGATTTTGTCCCGCGCGCGAAATTCATCCCGCCCGCCATCCACCGCCATTTTCAATACTAGAGTTGTTTACCGAAGTTTTTCTTTTACTCACCGGGAAAGAAAGATGAAAACTTTATGAGATATGAAAGTATGACGATTCGTATGATTTATTAATGTATTATCTTTTTCAATTTTCGTAAGTTTTCAACATTATTTTATGAACTAATCGAATGAAATATGATTAATATCACGAAAAATGATCACACAAATACAATATGACAATATTATTAGTTAGCACTCTTACAGATTGCTTCACTCATGATGATTCGCGTTTGTCGTCTGAGGTCAAACTTCAGTTTTAGTTAAACCTATCGTGGGTCCACCAGTAAAACGTAGCGCTTTTACTCTTTTTTACCGGTAAAAACCTGTTAAAATAATAAATTAACATCAGTTCCGTATAATAAAAACTTATAAAAAAATTATACCAGCAACATAAAACTTTTGGCGATCTGTTTTCAATATCTTTTGTATTTTCATTATATTATCGAACAAGTAGCAATCGTTAATCTCTTCTAACACAGCTGTTACAATTTACATACTTATGCAACTTTTCGCTAATAACAGTAGTTACATTTAAGCGTACCACAAAGTGTTTTTTAAATATAGCCTGACCAGGAACATAAAAACCCTGGCATAGAGGCGCGTCAATCGCATTTGATAGTGCAACACTGAGTACAGTCGTACATGTGTTAAATTAATAGGCTAAATTTATGTATCAGGATTCAGGATTACGGGCTAATTTGATATTTTCATAAATTAACGAAAAAATATTATTAAAGGTAACCTGGTTTAAATAAATTAAATGAAACCATCAATCGAGCTAGTAGGATTTATTTTATTATTCATCAATAATCAAATTCAGAACTTGAATATTCAACTGCAATGTCTGCTCATGAACGCTTCAAACTCGGTACATCTTTCCCAATTCCATAAAATTCAAAACTTAGAAAGTGACAAAAAACTTTAAAATAGGTAGTTGAAACAGACTACAGCTAATTTTCATAGTGGACTGTACTATACGATAAACATGTCAGTCAATTTGACAACCTTTGTCGGAAACATTATTCAATGAAAATATTGTCCGAACCCTTAGTATTTCTCTTCGACAAATACATTAACACATTGTGAACCACTTTTCTTTCACAACTATAAAAATATTTTAGCAATTTAATTCACAAAATCATCATTCATCGCACACATTTAAAATAAAGTTTGTTTACACTTTGACAACAATAGACTGACATGCAAGGTGACATGTCAATGAAGTTTTCAGTTACTGTTGCCATTAAAAGAAATTAGTACCATTAGTTTTCCGCAACATGGCGAGGGTTTTTATGTTCCTGGTCAGGCTATAATATCATTATCACCAATGAATTTTGCTAGATTATTGAAGGAATTTTACTGTAATTTAAAGTTACCTACCTAAGTCGGGACGTAGACACGTGGAAATTATCACCTAGGCGTGCCCATTCTCTTGTAGCGAAAGAAGAATTTATTATTCGTCCTCTGTACTAATTGGCATGGCATGAATGGCAATGGAACGATTATTCCTGGTACAATTGATCGTTCGTCACACTAATTATTATAGTAATTAACTAAACAAATCAAACGTCTCAATATTTGCTTGAAACTGAATCGAGTTTTGAGCTTCGTTCTGTATAACCTTAAAACCCTTATCTACATGTAGTACGGGACAATACCCACCTCTCGTTCCCACCGCTGCAACTCCTGTGTAGCCAGGATCTACAGCTTGACCGCCAATAAAAACCCAACCAGTGAAGGTCTAGTTTGTTCCGGATGAAAATAAAACTGTCACTATAGTTCTTGCAACTCACAAAGACGAGTGAGCTTTACTTGTGTGTGTACGTGTACATGCACATAAAGATAATGTAATGTCTGTAAAAACTTTTGTAAAACAATCAGTAGCGATGGTTGCCAGCCATTACATATGTAAAGCTCACTTGCCTTGGTGAATTGCAACAATTCCAGTAGTAGACATACCATACCACGTTATTTTAAACCCTTCCGAACACCATCAACTCAACGTACATTCTTCACACAGCGTCTCGTCGCCACTTTGAGATAGCGTTCCGCATGTTCGACTTGAACGGCGATGGCGACGTTGACTGCGAAGAGTTCGAGAAAGTAGCCGCGCTCATCCGCCAGCAGAGCTCCATCGGATCCCGGCACCGGGACCACGCCAACACTGGCAACACTTTTAAGGTTAGAAAAAAAGGTTCAAAAATAACGCCCGTATTCACAAACATTACTATGTCTCACAGTGCGTGTGGACGCACAGGGTGACACACGAACCAATCACAACTCTATTCAACGCTGTGCGTTCGATTTTCTGATTCACTTAGCAAGCATCGTCTGTGAATACGGGCGTAAGTCTTGCAACTTCTTCGATCTTAGTTTTCGAGTTACCGAATACCGACATAGATAGTTCAGATTTTTCATTGTTTTTGGACCTCAAGACAGTGGAATAAGATTTAAAGTATGGTGGGAACAATATTCCCTCCGCCTTTGTAAAGGGTTAAGACGTTAGTAGCGAGCTCCATCATCATCACCAATACTGGCAACACATTCAAGGTTAAAAAAAAAGCATCGTTTTTTTCAACCAAAAGAAGACCTGTGTCTTGGTTATGTGGCTTATTCTACTATTCCCTATCGACTTGTTCCATCAATGGGGGACTGTAAACTTTCCTTCCACAAATCTACATTCAGTGCTAATGGAGAATTTGTAACCAGGTTGAAGTGGAGAAATCCATCAGTTAACGTCTTTTGGCTGAAAAAAAAGCATACAGGTTCTAAACATTTTCTTGCGTCTTCTGCTATCTTAGTTTCCTATTTCCATGTTCTTTTTCTCTGTCGTAATTATACTGCTGCTTATTCACAGGGCATCAACTCTGCGCTCACGACATACTTCTTCGGGCCGAAACTCAACCAAAAGTTGACCATCGAGAAGTTTTTGGACTTCCAACAACAGCTTCAAAAAGAAATACTGTCCCTTGAATTTCAGAGGAAGCAGCCAGGTTCGTAAAAACTTATAATACTCATTTTATTTTCGCAAGTAGGTTTTTAATAAGCACTTTTACGCGTCCCATTAATAAATACGTAACATCCATATGAATACTTCCTTCACAAATCAGGCCAAAGGACTAGAGCGCAACGTTGAGACATTTATTTTATAATTCCAGATGAAAACGGTCGTATCACTGAAGCTGATTTCGCCGAGTTATTGCTTGCATACGCAGGCTACCCGGCCAAGAAGAAGGCGAGAATGCTAAAACGTGTCAAGAAAGCGTAAGTACACCTTTCAAGAATAATTGTAATGTTTGTTGTCTATTAGAGGCCGATAGATCTATCCTCATAAATAAAACACTGGATACTTTACATTTTACATTAAATTGCCTCATTTTAAATACAATTCATCAAACACAAAAGCGCGCGGAGTGTTGTCTCCGCGCGTCCCTCTATTCTGACGTTTCTAGTGTGACATTGACGTTATATCAATGTCACTATGACAGCAGCTCATTGGCTATAACGATACCGTTATTTTAACGTTTTAGATTTTTCACAATTAACAGTACCTATCAGTACACTGTTTACAATAGCTGGTTCATCGTATAGGTAAATTGAAGGACGTTACAGTTACGCATAAGTTTGAAGGTGTCCTTTGTCTGTGTCTCCCATTTTATCATAGCTAATGCTGCTGGCGGTGCCTCGCGGGAGCGCCGTTGACCCGCGCCATTTCCACTCTCAATCTCATATATCAAATAGATATTTTTTCACTGCCGTGACAGACCATTTCACTGGCGTGACAGGACCCATTGCGACCTCCTGTCACGCCAGTGAAATATTCTTAAAATAAATAAAAATAACACGCCCTAATCTAAATTCCAGGTTCCGCGACCACGGCGTCGGAATAACAAAGGACGACTACCTCAAGTTCTTCCACTTGCTCAACAACATAAACGACGTGGACACGGCGCTGACGTTCTACCACATCGCGGGCGCGTCCATCGACCAGCCCACGCTGCGGCACGTGGCGCGCACGGTCGCGCACGTCGACCTCGACCCGCACGTCATCAACGTGGTGTTCACGATCTTCGACGAGAACAGTGAGTGTTGTCCCGCGGCTGACGAGGCGGACACGTGACGTGCTACCACATCGCGGGCGCGTCCTGTAAAATATACAAATACATTACATTTTGTGGGCACTACCTACCTAAAGTTTCAGGTGTACACAGGTGTTCTCAGTCGAAGGAATACTAGGTTGATACTTATGGTTTAATAAAAGCCATAAAGTCGCCTTTTATAAAATGGTGAAATTACAAAAACATAAATGGTTCATTTCATTTTTGTTAAAAAAAGAAGATAATTTTTATATGCTAGTTTTCGAGAAAAACGCCAAAAACTATTTTTATGTCAGCGTAATAACGGTTCCAAAGATAGTCTAATACATTCAATACAATTATTTGCTCTTATAAGGGGCACTGTGAATTCTTCACTTGCGCGAGTTAACACCGCACAACGCCATCTATTGGTAGGTTTAGGAACCTAATTTCTAAACACACTAGGAATGCTTTTAACGGTCAATCTACAACGTTCATCCCTTTGCCAGTCATAAAATAAAAGTTTAAAATTTGTTACAAATACAAAGGCCTCAACTTAAAACTATTTTATTTACAGTGGACGGGCAGCTAAGCAACCGGGAATTCGTGGCCGTGATGAAGAACCGCCTCCTCCGAGGTCTCGAGAAGCCCAAAGACACCGGCTTCGTCAAACTGATGCACTCTCTCATCAAATGCGCGCGAGACACCAAGCCTGCCATACTAGACTTTTAAGGACACCCTCGAATGCACGGCTCCGATAACGCAAGTATTGCATAACTTTTACAGTTTTTATTAGAGATGAAACGGATATCCGGTAACTATCCGGTAAGCCGGATATCCGGATAGTAACTCACTATCCAGCCGGATACCGGATATTAAAAAACTACAACAATTTCCTATTAATAAAATGAAATACATAAATCTTTGACGTAAACATCAATAAAATGGCTTATAATAATGATGACGGCTTTTATTAAAGTCCAAAAAGTTACAAAAAGTCATAATAAGGCCTTTAATAAATATTCTTTTTCTGGACTATTCACTTTAATGACGAATACATAAATAGTAAATACCTGATAAGTCGAAATATTGCCAAATAAAATAGGCGATCTTTTTTTCACTGATGGTCTGATGTTATGATGCAGTTCAGTCAGATTACGCAGCAAGTAAACTAATTTAATTTTTGCTATTCAATCACACACTCACGATGGCAACCGAAATCGCCCGAATTGATCTGCCCCCTAGACAAGTGGCAAAATCTGACATTCTATTCGGACTGATTCGATTTTCGAAAAGTGTGACTAGTCTAGTCTACTAATGGACCCGACTGACTGTACGCGTTCGAAGCACCTGTGCGGCGCTAAACTCTTCACGACATGCAACGAGACAATGGGCCAAATATCCGGCTATCCGGCCTAGCAGCTGGCCGGATATCCGGTATCCGGCCAAACAACTATCCGTTTCATCTCTAGTTTTTATTCAGATTATGTAGGGAACGTTGTGTAGGGAACGTTGGGTACTCGCTTTGGGCTACATTCTGATAAATTGCCACTTTTGTTATAAACTAGAGACCCGTCCGGCTTCGCACGGGTTCTATGTATTATGCATTAAAGCTTTCTCATTAATCACTCTATCTATTGCTGAAAACTGCATTAAAAAACAGCGGGAGCAACTTGTTTTATCCTATGTAAAGAAGCAGCACTATTTTTAATGATTAAAGCACTTTGATTAGGCTTCAAAAGCCAAGATAAATAATAGCAATTCGTTCGAATCCATTTAAAAATATTTATTTTCAAATTGTGAGGTTTTCTAAGTAAACAAAGATGAATGCTCGTTTTTGCTAATAACCATAATAATAACCACAGAAACAAGGATAAAAAATATTTGTTGTTGTCTTTCTCATATTCGCTGTCCCAATATCAATTATTAAAATATGTGTGTAAACACCATGGTTATATAAAAAATTTCGCTTTTATGAAGCAAGTATCTTTCGTCATGCCTGTTCCACGATTTATAATACACAATATTTAAAAAAAAACGTATAAGATGGCTTCAAAAACAAAAAAATACTGGGTCGTGGTATTCGAGTGTATTTTCAATAATATATTAAGCTCTCTTTACTGGTCATTAGGTTTTACTCTTTTCTCATAATAAAAACAAAAAAAGTGTATCGATGCTTACTATTTGTAAGACATTCATTTACCGGTTTTTATTCTCTCGAAGGATCTGGTTATATAAAAAATCTCTACATCACATAATAATCTAGCACCGTTCGATCGTCTTTAATATTTGTGATATTGTATATAAATAACATAGTTGTGTATAAGAAGAGGTGTTTAAAGATATCGTTACCTGCAGTTAATTGCTTTTCGTAGAAAACAGGGTGTCAAAAAATCCAGAGATAGAGCATTGTGATTTATTTCAATCGTTTTTGTGTGTCTACAATGTTTTATAAGCATTTCATTCGAAAAACAAAAAATACAAAAAAAAGTAATAAAAATCTAGAGTTGCTCATAAATTCCTCTTGATATTGTTTTTAGGACTTACTAATCAATCATCCGATAAAATATTTCAGAATGCAATAGAACTTTAATAAATATCCTTCCTAATTATACGAATTTATATTTTGTTTTATTATTAGTTCTTTCAAATGACACAATAAATAATGTATTATTGTTAGTTATTTGTTATATTATTAGTTACATCTTTTTGAACACGTTCTAAAAGTTTTGTAATTAATAATTTATTATGAAATAGGTAAATCTTGTTAAATATTTTGTGTACGTAATATGTATATAAAAAGGTAGCTACGTTTTTTATATTGTTTTACTGTCGCAATCAATTTGTTTTTAAGTTAAAACTATGACGTTGATTCAAAATCAATTAGATTATGTATAAAATGTAATTTATAAGTTTATCTGTCTTTAATTCGCTACTTTTGCTGTGTACATAAAATTAAATAAGATGTTATTGTAATTTTTTACTCTCAATTAAAGTATTTCATTTCATTTTGTCTTTTACATTAATAAAATAACGTCTACATGACCTCAAATAACCATAAATTATTAACAAAAATTTATAGTTTTAATGATTTACGATAACTGCTTGTGTATTTGAAAGTGTTTATTAAACAGCGTCGTTACAGAGCCAAAGAGGTTACCCTAATAAACATCATGTCAATCTCACTCAAATATGTAAAACGGAGCGGCGTTTGAGCCAACAGTCTCGTTATGCAGCTAAAACAATATCCCGGCTGAATTGGAATAAAAGTCCCGCTCGTAAAGCTCTCGGCGGTCTCTAAAAACGTCATAATAAGACCGAGCGTTGAACCGAGTCCGCGGGATTGTTGCGAATTTCGGGTTGCCCCAGAAACAGAGCGCTCGCGCCTCGTACATCACTCGGACCACGGACCACGGGCCGGCGGCTGCCACTCGCTACAGCGAAAAATAGACATAGTTTAATCTTGCCCGGAATAATTCGCATAATACAAGCCTCAGACCGCATCGGGGAGCCATCGCCGCGACGCCCTCTGGTGAGTCCAGCCCTGTACTCTCGCTTCCATAATAAGTGGCGCCACTTTCCCATGTTTTTTGCGGCCATCGAAACTGTGATTTATAGCATAAATCCCGCTGCCAAACGCCTACGTGGCACGCCAGGAGCGGTTATGAATAACCTTCATGTTCAATTAATTTTAACTGCTCTAAAGGGCAGTTATGAGTGTTATAGAGTTGTATTTTCGTGTTTAAATTGAATTTATTTATAAATGATTGCATTTACATATTATCCACTGGAAGGATAAACATACTTCATAAAAAGTACAGTCAGGTACAAATAAATGTGATAAGTTGTCTTTATTTGTTTCAAGTGGTAGTGATATAAATTCCTTCGATTCAGCCAAATGACGTCCACTGCTGGACAAAGGCCTTCTCCAAGGCTTTCCATAACGACCGGTCCTACGCTGCCCGCATTATTTAGAAACAACAATTGTATTTTCTGTTTTATGACTGTTTCTGCATCTTTACTAATAATTATGTTTTCTCAGTAGATTAACCAAAGGAGCACAATGCCGATGTACCAGAGGCCACCGTTCTGGCGCGTGCCGCACCAGCGCCGCGACCCAGACGACGAGCCTAGATACTACGGGACATTAAGGACGAGGGTGAGTACTCATGACTTTATTATAGCTGCTGTCTCTTTTACACATTAATATTACAGTTGTCACTTGTCTCTTTTACACTTTGGCCTAATGCATGAAAGCTGATGACTCTTTGAGACATTTCTCTATACCGAATACATAAACAGTAAAATAGAGAAACCTGGGTCTCAACGCGACACTTTTTATATGAGTTACATTATTATGTACTCACGGCTTGACGTTTCGGCTGCTGAGCTGCAGCCGTGGTCACAAGTATTTTAGTTGAAATGGAACGCGAAAGTTTAAAATCTTATACATAAACAGAACAGTACGTGTAGTGGACGAAGAAACAATTGACGGCGTTGAAATATTCACTGCAGAAAAATCCTCGTGATCCTGATCGCATTTTGATAACATGTAATTGGTACCAATTAATACTCAACTTGGACTCAAACTTAGAACAATATAGAAGAGCATGGAAATGCATCATCCCCGTTTATCGTACCCATTCCAAACTGTTCTTAGATTCTTCTCTAAGTAAGTTTTAAACATCTGAGACATTTCGTGGTCTAAATATAAGAAAAAATCAACTGACATTTCTTTATTCTTGAGATTAAATGGACTCGATCATCGAATATAATTTAGAATAGGAGCTTCGTATTTATCTCTAGATCTAACCAAATTATTAAAATTAATCTAGGAATTGGTGTCATTGATCTGATAATTTATTTTCGAGAAGATAACTCATAAGTCAGTTTTAGATCCAAAGCGTTGTTTCTTTTATGTGGCACATTCTTTTATATCTTTTTTAAATCTTGCAATGTATTTCAAGCCATTTTATATGATGCTTTTCATCATTCATTCATCACACGAAAATTAATAATATCTTCAGAAGCTCTCGCTCAGAAGCGATCTCTTCCAAACAACCTGCAGAGAAAGCAGTTGCCTAAAATAAATTCATATTCGTATTGATCTTTTTTATTGTGTTTACTTAAGAGGTGTTATCTTTAATCGGAGTTTTTAGCGGTTTGAGTAATGTGCAATGGTGTGGATTCTCGACTGGTTCTTTTCATTTTGCTCCTAGAATTGAAATCGCGCGTTTAATAACAGTAACATAACATTGAAATCATAACAGCAAAGCCATGAAACATTTGGCATATGAGTTGCAATAAAATCATAATTTATTTAGGTCATGTCGAATCGCGTTACTTTTCATACGTTATATTGGTAAACAAACTGTCGTGCGCTGCTGGAACCGCTGGACGGTTCGAATCATCAATTACCCTCGGTTTCGGTAAATCGAATTGGGTCGATTGCGAAGGCAGGGTTACATGCAAACCTGAGGGGAGGGGTAGGACGAAGTTTACGTTGCGGCTAAATTTGCGCGCACAACGTCGCGTATAGCCGCCGTGACCGCACACCGCGCATCGAGTGCGCGCCGCGCAGTGCATCGGACCTCGGTTCCGCCATGGGGCGGCTGCATACCTTCGTGGTGACCCTCCGGCGCGAGAGCCGCGAGACCAACTGGGGGCTGCGCCTCGTGGGCGGCGCCGACCTCGCCACCCCGCTCATCGTCACGAGGGTACGACGCTAACCGGTGTAAACAAACCGCTGGAGTGTGACTCCATTCCACGTAAACAATCAACCCGTGTACATTTCGTGAGCGCTCTAGAAGCTTTCGACGGCTAATGTGTGTCTCAAAATATCATTGCGAGGCAATTAAAAAGAATTCTTATGAGATTATGTAGAACGAGTGTCTAGTTCGTCGGCGATGTCTCTTTATATCCGATGTATTCTGGGATATGTATCGGTCGCCGGCGTTCGACAGCCGCCGTCGGGACTCGACCTCATTATGTTCAACAAAAACTGATAAGAGTTATTTGTCTCCGGTCATTATACTCTCAGATTGATGTAACCTAGCCCTCACACTGTTTTGGCAGGCGAATTCGTTTAGATATTACGTTTAAATATATCACACGTCAAGAGCAAAAGGGAAACTCTATCTAGGCAATGGGCAAAGCGCAGTTAATTTAAATAAAAAAGATATTGAAGTATGAATGTTTTGGGATGATTTTATAGCTATTTAGATGTAAGTAAGCTTAAAAAATGCTTTATGTTTGTTTATATTTGACTTTCACTTTTGTGTTTGCGGATATGGACATAAGGACCACGTGTAGGCAATGCTTTATGAAGGTCCTCTGTCATTAAATCATTATTAATTAATTAACTCTGTTATCATACAAAAATAATTATTCCAAATAATGATGGCACAAAATAAACATTTGCTTGTTGGTTCACCAAAATAAATACTTTTGAAGGTGATAATTATTTAAATTTTTTTGGTTCCTACTAAAGCATTTATGATTTTGTCAAAGTTTATGAATCCACCTCAGCGTTTAGATTTACGCTACCATATTTTTATAAACATTTATGTTGTACGATGATTGAGTTCAAAATTTCATGAAAAAAACCTGCTTAACTTCTATGCTATGGCAATACTTCAGTGCGACGTCACGACTTTGTTTCTTTTTTTTTTTCAAATTCAAATTAACTGTTTTGGATCAATTTTTAGTTTGATTTTAAATCCAATTTAGTAAATTCGAGGATAACATTTATTTTCGCGACAAAATAAAATGATTTATTTTGATTATTTAGTATCAAAACTAATCGATCAGTGTACATATTTTATTTTATTTATGGCGATTAAAGCTTCTTGAAGATCCTTTCATCCATTAGTTCCAACGTCTCCTACCAGTTGAAGTATTTAAAATATTTCTAAAATGGTTCGAATTCGTAAGAGTGGTCTGTTTACGAACTATTTAAAACAAACGTATACTTACTATCGAATTGAGGTTGAGCCATTTTAAACATAAACAAGCGAAAACGAAACATTGCATCAGTGGAAATGTATCAAAAATTATGCAGCTACGAATTTTTACTATGAGTCAGCCTCTATTACAGCGGGCAGTGCGCTGTTTTCGGTTTATTTATATCGAAAGCATACTGACGCGTGGTGACAGCTAGAAAGCTTTCTTTGCTAATTAGCGAGACTAACTTTTTATTCATAGTTACATAAAAATGCTGTATGGGATTCAAATTCTTATTTTTTAACGATTACAATACAAATTAATTCAATGTATACTAATTATAATGATTGTAAAATTTACGTAGAGAAATTAGAAAGTAATTTTAATTCCCAAGCAAAGGTAACACCAATTACACCAATAAAATATGAGATAAATTAATTTGGAAATATTAATAATTATTAACATGAGAATTTGTGAGGATTAATGCTAATTATTATTAACGTCAGAATTTGTGAGGATTAATGGATGGATGTGTCATACTCCTTTACAATGCTGGACCGATTTTGATGAAACTTGCCATGTCCTATTATCATCGTAGGATTTGGCTTACCC